TACGACTGAGAAGAAATGAGTTAATGGTGAGCTTTTCATTTAGAGACTTCACGGTTAATTTTGGTACGAGTTCTGCTACAAAAACTGCAGGAATTAAAGAATAACAGGTATCACCTTTTTTACAGACCGTCATAACACGATTGAGAAGGAAGTACAATGGTTTGAGGACTTAATTTCGAACCTTCAGATTCCACGTTTACCTGTACATGCTTATTCTGTTAATAATGTTACCTTTTTTTGATTAAAGAAAAATAGACACTATTTACATTATACCGACTGTTGTCCTCATCTTTGTCGCCATATTTATTACAACATTTCAGCCGTTGTACGCTTCGGCCTTCTTCACGTGGTTGGAATGTCGAAATGAACCCTTTATTTCGCTCACTGGTGTAGAATGTTCTAGTTCCACGTGACATGTTTAATGGATGTCAGTTATCAGTTATCTCCTGTTAATTCCTCTCTCCAAGTTCTCCACCGCCTTAACCAGGTATTGAACTCTCTTTCGGTCCTGTCACTGGATGTAATCAACACCTTTATCCACTGTGCCATGTGTCCTTTAGAACCTTCAGGGGGTTGAAATGTCGAATTGAACCTTTTATTTCGCCGGGGTAGACTGTTCTAGTTCCACGTGCCATGTCCAATGGATGTTAGTTATCTCCAGTTAATTCCCCTCTCCAAGTCGTCCACCGCCTTAACCAGGTATTGAACTCACACTCTTTGGGTCCTGTCACTGGATCTAACTAACGCCTTTAGCCCCTGTGCCATGCGTCCTTGAGGACATCTGTGTATGAATTGTATAAATTTCTGAGTATTATAAACCTAATGTCTTCAGCAACCATTTTTTATCACTGCTCATATTGTAATTTTTGCTGTTACCATTGCATGTTTTTACCAGAGCTCATATTGCAATTTTTGTGGTTATTATCGCTTTTCTCCGGCATTCCTTTTTACTGGTTCCCATATTGTATTCATTTCTATGCGTGGTCGGCTCAGGAGATTTTTGTGGCCAGAGTGTACAACGGCCGAAACGTTGTAATAAATATGGCAACAAAGATAAGGACAACAGTCCGAATAATGTAAATAGTGTACATAATACCTCATCTCAGAAATATAGACAAAGAAAAATACGTCATTATTTTTTATCAACTCACGTATAAGCGTTCTAATCAAAAAAAATGACTAGTTTTATCGTATTGTCAAAAATATATGTATAAAGGTAAAAGGCGTGAACTGTTAACACATCAGGAGTTAACCTAGAGAAGCGAAAGCCATATCGCTTGTCTGAAAGAAGACTCCGCGAGGTTAGATGTTTAATCAATTATGGGTTGTTTAGAGCTTCTAGTACACGCCTAAAAGAGGTTGAGGCCCAATAGGCCACTAAAAAATATTCTTTGAAAAAAATTTGAAACTACTTCGTCTCGTTTCGTGCGCATGTGTAGACGTGGCAACGTCAACAACCCCCAGTCCGATGAAACGCATCACAAATAAACTTTTCCAGTTTGTCAGATTTTTCTAAATACTGTTTGTTGATATTTTCGCCCTTGCATGGAGTATTACTGCCATATATGATCTGGGGCACCTTCTGTTTACCTCGGAGTTCTTGACAAGATCCAGAGACGGATATGTAATATAATTAGCCTTGATCTGGCATCTCGTCTACAGTCACTCTCTCACAGACGCCCCGTCGCCTCTCTCTGCCTTTTCTACAAATACTTTCATGGTAATTACTCCGATGAGCTGCTTTCACTGGTTCCCAGACTTCATGAATCCAAGCGCCCTACGAGGCTGGCATCCCGCTCCCACCCTTACACTGTAGAAACTTTTAAATGTAGCCATCTCTTCTACTCCAATAACTTCATACCTCGCACCTCTCGCCTGTGGAACACCCTTCCCAATTACTGTTTCCCTGAGAGCTATAATCTCCAACTATTCAAATGTAATGTCAATCGACATCTCCAGTTACCTTGATCTATCCATTATCACTCTCCTCATCCTTTCTTCTATCACTCCTACCTGCTCTTGCTCCTAATCTTCTGCAACCAAAATATCAATTTTATATATATATATATATATATATATATTTGGATACCCCACATTAAATTTGGCCTTGTGCCACAACTGACTGCATATGGGACGGTTGGAAAATATCCTGCCGTTGGAGATTCATTGTGGAATTCACTTGACTCACTTCTAGCAGTTGAATACTTCTACGCGCCACTGGCGAATCTTATATGTGTTGTTCTTGTCCTAAGTATTATCGTTCATTACCAACCTTCGTTTGATTATTCTATTCAGTAACCTCTTCCTAGGTTACAACAAATGTCAATCGTAATCTTCTGTCTTAATTCATGTTCTCTTATTGATCTCTTTCCTTAATAATGTTTTTTCTCATATTCTGTTACACCCAGTAACACCATGAATCTTAGTGACTTTATTGCCTTTCTTGTGGTGAAATTAGATTTTCGTTATAGAAATTATATTTTATCGCTTATCCTTATAGAAATTAGATTTTTTATGCAAGTTATATAAATTATATAAATCTTTATATAAATTAAATGTCATAGACATTAGATTTTCATTATAGAAATTAGATTTCCGTTATATATATATATATTATATTTTAACAAATTTCAGAAGTTGTTTTTCTCCCAGATACACTGCAAAGCACAAAGAATAGCCTTTTTTTTAATAGCCAGAATTAATAGTTGTCATCAAAAGCAACATTCTAAAATGTGTGATACATAATAGGAACTCTCTCCCAGATTCTTGTAACACCAAAGATGAACTGTAGGCAAGCATTCAACAAATTAAACAAGAAAATCATTCAGAAGAGTTGCATGAGATTTCGAAGCCGTCTAGAGGCCGTGGTTGAAGCCAATGGCGATTTTATTGAATAAATTTACTCTTTAGTATTTCAAGATATTTTTTTGCGTGTAATATCTGTTAAAATGAGATGTCAGTGTTATTTTCATTTTTGCGTAATTTAGACGTAAATGCATATATATATATATATATATATATATATATATATATATATATATATATATATATATCTCACAATCCTCACACTTGCTCCATATGTGGCCTTCTTCGTAAATAAGTAGCGGGTCTTAAGTGCCACTTAAGATTATCGCACAAAATTTCATAACTGAATCAATTAAGCTGTCAGATCATCATACGTCGAAACCGACGGAGAGTCCATTCTCTCTCTCTCTCTCTCTCTCTCTCTCTCTCTATATATATATATATATATATATATATATATATTTTCAAAAAAATAAATAAATGTAATGTTAATCGTTAATCTCTCTTCTTAATTCTTGTTTTGTTGTTTTATTTTCCTCTCTCTTTAACAGCGTTTTTTTCCATACTCTCTCACTATCAGTAACAACCCCCCTTGCGTCTTAGTGGCTTTCTTGCCTTGCTTGGTGTGAAATGATTAAATAAGAAAAAAGTTCAGGGAAGTTATTGCTAGTCTTGTTTCCACTGTTTTAGTTTGTACTTCTTTTATGTGCCATATCCTTTCACCTTATGTCGGTCATGACTCTCCACAACTTCTTATCCATTTGAACTCTAACTAATGTTTGTCTCCTTACTATCCCTTCCATTGTGACATTCATTTCTACCAGCCATTTCAGTAGGTTACTCTATATTTCCCTCTGATTCTCTTTCCGTCAATATATCCTGCGAGTATCAAATTCTCCAAGCTTTCTTTTCTCATTATACTTCCCAGAAATTTCAAGTGATTCTTCCAGATACTAAGAATAAGTGCCTTTTTGTTTCCATTTTTAGACTTATTTTGTAGAACCACATCACTGTCGCCTTAAGCTTCCTCTTTCACAGTGAATAAAATTGTACATCTCCTCTGGCATGTCGGAGGATTTACTCAGCTCAAGAATTGAACTCACGGACCGAAGGTTTAATACTCTAAGATAAAGCTGACTCCACATCCATTTTTCCTTAACTTATACATTTTTCCTTTTTTCTATGAATTCTAAACCTATGCATTAGCTTTCCAAAGGACACATGGCACTGTGGATAAAGGCGTTAGCCAAATCCCGTGACAGGACCCATGGAGTGTGAGTTCAATTCCCGGTTAAGGCAGTGGAGAACTTAAGACTTTTTTTTTTTAACGCCAAAAGGAAGGCGTAATTAATTAATTAATTAATTAATTAATTAATTATTATATATATATATATATATATATATATATATATATATATATATATATATATATATATATATATATATATATATATATATATATATATATATATAAAAAGGGATTTTGCGAACGATGCAACGGATAGCGGCTTGGAATAGGAAAGCAGAATTCTTGTTGGGTCCGTTACATCCAATTACGCCTTTGAGAAAAGTATGGATTAAATAGTAGGACTTGTTTCTGGAAAAAACGTTGTTATTTTCAAGAAATTGTTCTCTAGCAAAAAAAGTAAAAAAGAATTATTCTTACAATCCAAAATATGTTTTGGTTTTAAGTAATCCACAAAGAGGTGATAATCCGTAAAACACAACAAAACATCAGTGAAAACAGTAAAAAGAAAGTTCCCAAATTCCTGGTTTTTGACAAGTTTCGAACGTTTATCTCAAGCATCAATAGCAAAATATATTTCACTGTCCTTTCTATGTCACAATACTTTTCGTCGTTTTCTATTCAACTTTTCTTTCTCCCCCTCTTCCTTGTCATCACCTATCTTCTCTTCTTCCTCACCTCATTCTTCATTTTTTTCCAGTCTCTTTCCTCCTTAAATTTTGGTCGTCTGCTTTCGTTTCGCTCCCACAGCCTCGATTTCGAATTTCACGTTTACCTCTGAACATTTCATCTCCGTTTGTAGCTTTTCCCCCACTTTGCACCCGTAATGTCCATTTTCTTTCATATCATAATACAAAGCAGGCAAAAAAAAAAATCCTTTCTTTTTCCTATCAACTGAATCGGAAGAAAGCTCTTAGATTACGTGAAAATTCGACCAACATAAAAATCAATGCCCGTAAATGAAGACCCCGAAGCAAGATTTACAAATATCCTGTCCGACTGTCTTTACGCCATCTGCTTACAATCTTTCGCCCGCTACTCTCCTTCTCTCACTCCCCCTCTCTCTCTCTGTTTATCTCTCTGTTTTTCTTTTGCTCTCCCTCTCTCTCTTTCTCGACTCCTCTCTCTCATTCTCTTTCTCTCTCACTCCCCATTCTCTCTCCTTCTCTTTCTCTCTCCTCTTTCTCACTCCCCATTCTCTCTCTCTCTGTGTTTCTTTCTGTTTTTCTTTTGGCCTCTCTCCTCTCTGTTCCTTTTTCTCTCCCTCTCTCTCTTTCTCCACTCCTCTCTCTCCTTCTCTTTCTCTCTCCCCCTCTCTCTTTCTGTTTATCACTCTCCCTCCCCTCTCTCACTTCCCTTCTTTCCTCACTCTCTTCCCACTCGTTTCTTTCCCTAGTTTTTATCTCTCGCTCATCTCTCTCCCTCTCTTTATTTCTCTCTCTTCCTCTCTCTCCCCTCTATCTATCCTGACTCTCTCTTCCTCTCTCTCCCTTCTATCTCTTCCTCTATCCTGACTCTCACTTCCTCTCTCTCTATCAACTTCTCTCTCTCTTTCTTTCGTTCTTTCCTTCCTTTCTTTCTTTCTTTCTTTCTTTCTTTCTTTCTTTCTTTCTTTCTTTCTTTCTTTCTTTCTCCCTTCCTCTCTCTCGGCATTCTTTCTTCTCTCTTCCTCTTCTCCCCTTCCTTAACCTTTTACCTTGGCAAAAAAAAAAAAAAAAAAATAGGAAGCGTCTTATGACAAGGATACACCGTCTCACCAGATATATTAAACCTTCACTTTGAGACAATATTAGGAGAGCTGGAGATTCTGCTTGTGTCTATTGTTATTCGTGAGCACAGTTAGACTCTCTAGAACAATTACGACTGAGTAGTGAGTTCGATCCCCACTGGGTGCTCCATAATATCGGCCTTGTGCCACATCTAAGCTACGTTTACTAAATAGTTAATGGGCATTTCGACGCAGTTTAATGTTTAACAAGCTTGTTCCTCTTGCTCATTTAAGACTGAATAGTGAGTTCAATCCACACTAGGTGCTCCATATATTCGGCCTTGTGCCACATTTAAATTATGCTTACTAAATCGGTATTGGGCACATTGACACGGTGTAATGGTTAACAATTTTGTCTCGCTAGATCAATTACCATTGGTTAGTGAGTTTGATCTCACTGGGTACTCAATACGTCCGACCTTGTGCCAAATCTACACTTTTCAGATCGTTATAGAAGTGAAAGCAGGAATTTTTCTCAGCGATAAAAATTGATGTTTTTTTACGCAATCTAAACCCTTTGTCGGTTATTTAAAGTTAGAAAATATTTTATATTGTAAGAATTTAGGGAATATAAAATTGATTTACTGATACAATTTCAAGTTTAACACATAGTTGGGGAGATGAGGTACATTCCCCCGGTTAATCTACAGGGTTTTCCGAAATTAACACTTTATTAAATCGACTGTTCTCGTTTCCCATGTATAGAAAATGAGAACAAGTCATAGTCAGTGGAAACCGAAAAATCTACCCCCATAGATTAAATAAAGGCTTCAGTTCGGAATTTCTTGTAGGTTATACGGATTCACATACACATGATGAAGGCAGTAGAACTCAACGGCCGAAACGTTGCGATAACAAAAAAAGATGAGGACAATAGTCCGCATGTAAATAATGTTTTTTTTTAATATTCGAAAACATTGATTTTTTTGTTTTTGTTTTACGTCATATCAACCGCAATGGATTATTTAATGCCAACAAAATTCTTTATTGCATGTAACTTTTTTTACGAAAATATATTGCTGGTATATCATATATATATATATATATATATATATATATATATATATATATATATGCATATATATTTTCATCAAAAGTCTATTGCTGGTAATATTTTTTCTTCAAAAATCTATTATTGATATTATATCAAATATATTATATCATATATATTAGCAAATATTTTTTCCGAAAATGTATAGCTGGTAATATTTTATTTTCAGAAGGGTACTGCTGGTAATAATTGATTTCTGATAATAATTTTTTACTAGAAAGCATTTCTGGTATTAAAACCTATTTTTACCCTTCCATGGCTCTCCGACTCCATTCCAGTAGCCAACCACTCGCCCACAGCAAGGGACCGCAACAAGGGCCACTACACCGGGTCAAGGCGGACCTGAGTACATCAGCAATCAAAAGGCGGCTCCACACTCCTCAAAACGTCCCGACCTGCAGTCGGATGCGGTTCATCGTCATACTGAGGAGGCGGATGTAATTTATCGTCATGCCGATGACTCGGATGTAGGTTATCGTCTTACCCAGGACGTGGATGTAGTTTATCGTCTTAGCCAGGACGCGGACGTAGTTTATCGTCTTACCCAAGACTCGGATATAATTTATCGTAATTTCCAGTACGCAGATGTAGTTTATCATCTTACCCAGGACGGCACATTGCTTAGAATTTGTGACTGTCAATTAGTTCGATGAATTTAAATACTAGAAGTTAGTGAAAGAAAGTAAGAAAATGGACTAAACACCAAATGCAATAAGTCAAACTATACCTTGTTAGCAAAAGGAACCACCCAACCTGCAAATTAACAATTGGAGATACTAAAATCAAACAAGTAAACTAATTCATGTATCTTATGAGTATTTTTACGAGAGTACGGAAAGTGCGACAACGAAATTCGAAAACATATTAGTATAGAAAAGTGCTTTTCAAAATCTAAGTAATGTATTAAGAAACAGAAAAATATCGTTAGAAACAAAGAAAAGTGTACTAAACTGTTATGTAATAATCAGTTTTCCTATATGCCAGTGAATGACCATCTCATGAAAGATGAAGAAAAGACATGAAACAGTAAAAAGCAAGCAGAGAATACCATCGACTGAACATGTGATCAATGAGGAAGTTATAGAAAAATGAAAATGAAAAGAATACTTAAGCATATCATCAGAAAGAGAGAGTTGAAATTTCTAGGGCACATAATGAGGAAAGACGGCTTGGAGAATCTGACACTGACAGGTAATATTGAAAGCAAGAGGAACTGGAAAGCAGTACATAATCTACCTAAAGAAGAAGAAGAAGAGGAAGAGGAGGAGGAGGATCGGGAAATTGTGGAGAACCACCATCGCCCACGTCCTGAAGGGGCAAGGGACAAAAAGAAGAAGAAGAAGAAGAAGGAAGGAAGGATGAGGAGGACGAGTATCTCGTGTAAATGCTTGGCAGAACAGTGTTTTGGAGAGATAGCGAAAAGACAAAATTTACTAAGAGCTATAAAGGAAAGGAAAATGTGGAGAGCCATGATCGTCCACGTCCTGAAGGTATATATAGAAGAAGAAAGGGATTGAGTAAATGGTTGGCAGGACAGAGATAAGGAGAGATAGCGAAAAGACAGAATTTACTAAGAGCTATAAAGGAAAGGAAATTGTGGAGAGCCATGATCGGTCACGTCCTGAAGGGTCACGACTCATAGAAAAAGAAGAAGAAGAAGAAGAGGGGAGGGGGAGCTTGTGTAAATGGTTGGGCAAAGAAGAAAAAGGAGAAGATTGGTTTTGTTTAGTTGTTTTTCTTTAGTGGCATATCAACATTTCTCTAATAACAAAATCTGAATATTTTGGACGCAATTTTATGCCTTCAACAGCAGATATGTTTTATATAATTTTATTTTATTTTTTTTAGATATATATTTTGTAAATTGTTATGGTCCAGGTTAGGACCAAGGAAGAACAACTCGAACACAAAAGTAGAAATAACGGAGGTATATTACACGAAATAATAATACAAGATGTGGAAGGTGTTAGTATGACTGTCAATCTGGTTTGGAGTGAACTACTATCGGCTCGGTATCGATTCGGTTTCTAGCCACCCTCCCACGAGGGTTGCATGTGACACAAGGCCGAGTTTAACGTGGGTTTCCCGAGCCCGTAGGCTCGGCCAAAAATGCCCGTAGAACCCGTATAAACGGGATCAGGTTGGTCAACCTCCGCGAACGAGACTCTGCCCTTCGGCGGAGCCTCGTCCGTTCAGAGACAGAGTTCGACCTGTTCAGAGACAGAGCCACCCCGACCGGGTTGGTCAAGCCCCAGAACGAGACTCTGCCCTTCGGCCTTCGTCCGTTCGACTCGGTATCTAGCCACCCCCACGAGGGTTGCATGGATTGGGTTGGTCAACCTCCCAGAACGAAACGAGACTCTGCCCTTCGGCCTTCGTCCGAACCTCGACCGTCAAGTCAAAAGAGAGCTCGGCCGTCATTCGTCCCTCTCTTGAGAGGTCCCTCTATACATAGTGTTAGGAAGAGTTCATTCTGTAGTTATAGGTAAGGACCCATGACATAAATGATAAAATGTATTGTTAGCAATTTTTAGAAGAATATGTATTTTTGGTAATTTTGCTGTTAATTTCACTGAAGATATTAGTCCCCTGGGTATGACGATGAACCACATCCAGCAGCAAGGAGATTGGAGGTTTTGAGAAGCTTGGATCCACCTCTTAATTACTCTTGTTCCCAGGTTTACTTGCCCGTATATGGTAGTACCTGTTAGGCTCCCATCTATGGGCGAACAGTAAACCCTAAAACAAAATCAAAATACTATGAAAGTTTAAAAATTCATTTTTATACTAAACAACAAGACCTATTTATAGTAAAATAACAAATAAAACCTATTTATAGTACAATGGCCAGCAATACATTTTATAGCAAAATGAAAAATACATTTCATCTGTAGTTGATGGCATACAACTGCTTTCAAAATATTTAGATTTCAGCATTAAATAACCCATAGAGATGTTGATGTGCCCTAAAATAAAATCAACCAACCAACTACAAGAATGTAGTGGTATTTTTCTTAGTTTTGTATTGATTGTCGTTTCCAAACAAAAAATGGTAATTTTACTATAAAAATATGCTGTTGATTTTCGTTTGGCTGTTCATTTTTTGGCCACAGTTGGGAGATGAAGAGGTTCTTCTACCCACATCACGATTTGAGCTGGAGACAATTAAGAGGTGGTTCCACGCTCCTCAAAAATACTAAGCTCCCGATCAGAGGCCTTGCTGCCTGATGTAGTTTATCGTCATACCCAGGACGGAAGAAGAATAAGGAGAAAGAGAGAGGAGTATGAGGAAAAGCTTGAGGAAATTTTTGGCAGAACAGTGTTTAGGAGAGATAGTAAAAAGACTAAATTTACTAAGAGCTACAAAGGATCGGAAATTGTGGAGGACCATGGACGGCAATGTTCTGAAGGGACAAGGCATATATTAGAAGAAGAATATAAATAACTAGCAGTTTTTGCCCGCTCGCTATCGTTTCGCTTAGTAAGATATTTGAAATCTTTGAAACAAAAATTTTAAATGAACATTTCATTCATAACTTGGCTTGTTATAGTTAAGGAAAGTTTTACAAACAGATGCCAGCTTGTTGAAGGCCAAGTAAAATGCAAATTTCAAACACTTTTCCCTACTATATAAGACGATATTTCTAAACGGAACTATTTTTGATATGAAAATCAGAACAATCCTCGAAGAAAAGAGCAGTAATGAAGGACAGTTAATTAATGAAAAAAAACTTTTTAAAATCAATATGCAAATTAGTTAAACCTGAAGAGTAATATTGCCTAGGAGTAGATAATATATAATACAGATGTTATTCCCGTGCTGAGTAGTTTCTGACACATCTATTTATCATCTCTTAGTTGCGTCTCTGTCTTTGGGCAGAGTGAACTCACGGGCTACTCTGTTAGAGTTGCAACTGAG